GTGCAAAATTCTTCCACGTGTATCAAAGTCCGAAAAAGGATCTTGATCGCTTTTGACAACGGATTAAGTAAGAATAAATAATTACATTACATGTATGGTTCATTAAAATACGTTATTTTGATTGGCTAACAGCAATATCGCGTCATTGTGAAGTTAACCTGCATTTCAAAAGGAAATGTAACATTCATGATGACATGAGCTTCCACAATAAAGTGCACAGGTAAATAAAAGAAAAACTTGATAGAAATCGTGTTTTCATGATCCTAGCAAAAAAATGTAGAATGAAGCGTTTCCGCGCTTCATCCAAAGTGTACTTCGGTCAACGCTTTTACACCCCAATAAATTTACAAAAAGAAGATTCAATTCTTAAATGAAAGCGGATAAACAGTTCATTGGTGTAGTTGGGAGAAAAATATAGATAATTTATAGAGAATATCTCGTCTAAATAAAATTGAGAATGGAAATGGGGAATGTGTCAAAGAGACAACAACCCGACTTAAGAGCAGAAAACAGCAATATTGTTAAGAAATAAAACATCTATCAGGTGACGTTTGTGTTAACATCACTTAAAACTATCCCTACGACTGCACGAGTTCACGTCTTACTCTACAAAGTTGAGAAATGTAGAGTGCATAGGCTTTTGCCAGCAGTTTGTAACCCCCAACTTCCATTTCCTCCCGAAACCTCGATTGTATATCTCACTCTAAGATTTAAGATATAAATTTTTTATACTAGCAAGTCTAAATTGAAAACAACGTTCAAACCTATGATTGCGTTGGATAAAAACCGCAATTTTTATACGTGTGCATGCAAAACAAATTTCATTGTAGAGGGGCCTAAATACAGCACAAACATTTTCCAAAAGACCAAAAAAGTGAAAAAGTATATTTTAACAAAACGCATTTGACTAGCAGGTCGAACAACGGATGTTCTTAAACCCTGCTGACTGCCGTGGCGATTGCCAAATAAACGGATCACAGATGTAACACAATGGATCTTAATTATATTAATTTAATACCAAACAGAAAACAATAAACTTGCGGAAAAGATGGTATACCGCAAATATGAGGTGCAAAAATTTGTACACTATATCCGGATTTCGACAATTAATGTCTCTTCAGTGATGTTAGGAATCGAAACGGTATTTGGAAGGCCATATAATTTACCTCAATTTGGGATTGACTCTTGAATTTTGAAGAGTCGAGATAGAATGAACGGATCATATAAACCCGAAGGCAAATATAATGCAAGCCCAAACGAAAAAATATAAACAAGTCTAAATTGAAAACAACGTTCAAACCTATGATTGCGTTGGATAAAAACCGCAATTTTTATACGTGTGCATGCAAAACAAATTTCTTTGTAGAGGGGCCTAAATACAGCACAAACAACATTTTCCAAAAGACCAAAAAAGTGAAAAAGTATATTTTAACAAAACGCATTTGACTAGCAGGTCGAACAACGGATGTTCTCAAACCGTGCTGACTGCCATGGCGATTGCCAAATAAACGGATCACAGATGTAACACAATGGATCTTAATTATATTAATTCAATACCAAACAGAAAACAATAAACTTGCGGAAAAGATGGTATACCGCAAATATGAGGTGCCAAAATTTGTACACCATATCCGGATTTCGACAATTAATGTCTCTTCAGTGATGTTAGGAATCGAAACGGTATTTGGAAGGCCATATAATTTACCTCAATTTGGGATTGACTCTTGAATTTTGAAGAGTCGAAATAGAATGAACGGATCATATAAACCCGAAGGCAAATATAATGCAAGCCCAAACGAAAAAATATAAACAAGTCTAAATTGAAAACAACGTTCAAACCTATGATTGCGTTGGATAAAAACCGCAATTTTTATACGTGTGCATGCAAAACAAATTTCTTTGTAGAGGGGCCTAAATACAGCACAAACAACATTTTCCAAAAGACCAAAAAAGTGAAAAAGTATATTTTAACAAAACGCATTTGACTAGCAGGTCGAACAACGGATGTTCTCAAACCGTGCTGACTGCCATGGCGATTGCCAAATAAACGGATCACAGATGTAACACAATGGATCTTAATTATATTAATTCAATACCAAACAGAAAACAATAAACTTGCGGAAAAGATGGTATACCGCAAATATGAGGTGCCAAAATTTGTACACCATATCCGGATTTCGACAATTAATGTCTCTTCAGTGATGTTAGGAATCGAAACGGTATTTGGAAGGCCATATAATTTACCTCAATTTGGGATTGACTCTTGAATTTTGAAGAGTCGAAATAGGATGAACGGATCATATAAACCCGAAGGCAAATATAATGCAAGCCCAAACGAAAAAAATATAAACAAGTCTAAGTTGAAAACAACGTTCAAACCTATGATTGCGTTGGATAAAAACCGCAATTTTTATACGTGTGCATGCAAAACAAATTTCTTTGTAGAGGGCCTAAATACATCACAAACAACATTTTCCAAAAGACCAAAAAAAATAAAAAGTATATTTTAACAAAACGCATTTGACTAGCAGGTTGAACAACGGATGTTCTTAAACTCTGCTGACTGCTGTGACGATTGTCAAATAATCGGATCACAGATGTAACACAAGGGATCTTAATTATATTAATTTAGTACCAAACAGAAAACAATAAACTTGCGGAAAAGATGGTATACCGCAAATATGAGGTGAAAAAATTTGTACACCATATCCGGATTTCGACAATTAATGTCTCTTCAGTGATGTTAGGGATCGAAACGGTATTTGGAAGGCCATATAATTTACCTCAATTTGGGATTGACTCTTGAATTTTGAAGAGTCGAAATAGGATGAAAGGATCATATAAACCCGAAGGCAAATATAATACAAGCCCATGTGTATGTTGCAGATTTCAGTGCATGCTACACGTGTTCTTCGACTTATGATGAACATGGTGTATAACTTAAAAAACTAACAAAAAGTTGTTAGGACTATTTCTGTTAAACCTGTATTAAGGCATATTCCTCTGACGCTGGTAAATTTTAACAATTACTTCTTGCAAGTGGTTTCATTCTCAAGTATCGACTTGGGTATAATATTATTTTCAAACTAGGTCACGTCAGAGGAAATACGAGCTATTCTAGAAAACTGTGTCAAACTTATATATTGCAACTCAAATAGAAATAAAATTTAGCAATAGAAATGTTACTATTGACGATTGCTCATAAACCATTTAAGTGGGATACTCAAAAAGCTTTTAAAACTCTACCAAACAATTTTTAATTATGTTTTCATATTTCTACTTAAGTTGTTTAAACGAAAGTTATAAGCTGGAGGAGTACGTAATAAATTTTATTTTAGTTTTATTGACCACTTTTGTCTCATACATGTTTAAAGCTAGACTAACAAGTACGTATGTTCAGTTCAATTTGTGAATGGTGTTACGTGAATTACAGAAGGAGATTTTAAGAAGATACAAGTGCAGTTGTTCTTTATAGTCGATTGACACTGTTCTGTGACGCAATACAGGCATATTTTTATTCTAATGAACAATGAAATGTCTTAACTAAAAAGGAAGAAACATTATACTTACTTCTTGCTGAACGGGATTCAAATTCTTCATCAGAAACATCTTAAAATGTTTATTTCAACATAAACAAAGCACTGAAATGAGAACTTCCAACTATGAAAATGGCAATACAGTTTAAAAATGCGTTTAAAAATTTTGTGTTAAAAATGATTTGACACTTAAAGCATGGTTAATAGCATTGAGATATCAAGAACGTATAAAGGTGAATAATATTTTTTACAAGAAAATAAATCTTTCAAAGAGAAAGATTTTAAGGTTTTGGCAAAATTTCATTAAATTAATGTTACTTTCAAATTAGGATTAAATAAAATCCCCTCAACATGTTTGTAGAAGAATCAGTTGTTATTTACTATGTAAAAACAAAATTTTACTGACATAATGATGTTACTTGATCAGATGATAATCATTGACATGTGTTCAAAATTACGTTAAAGACTAACTTAAAATTCCATCAGAAAAAAAACCATCCCCTTAAATTTTATGATTAATGTTTGTGCATATCTAACTTATGTTAATTGATGTTAATTGGCAACAATTGAATTGTTATGTTGTTGCATATCATTCACAGACGTTAACAAACTAATTCAAATCTCTTTTCATTAAAATCTGTTTGCACGTTCAAAGTTTATTTCAAGCTACAATCATATTAGTAAGATTACTAATGAAAAGAGATAACTTGAAGTTTATATACATATTTTTTTCAAGATACATGCTCCTATCCAATCAGATTGACAACATTTCATTTAAAGCAAAACAGATTGATGCATGCATCTTGAAAATTACAAGGAATGTGTAAATATTTAAGTTACTATGTCACTCAATTTTGAACTAAATGATTTTTATCACTGTTCTCAACATTGAATTGCTGTTGAGATTCTAAAACTTTATAGACTCTTCCCTGTGGAAGAACACTTGTGATTGTTGTAAGATGGTCATCATGTATTTAAATCTATAATTTTACCAGTACTTTTGTTGTTTTTAACCAATTATGTCTTATATATTTGATCCACAGATTTAAACATAAATTTTTGCTGTAAAATGGTTACTTTAATTTTTGAGTTGTCATGCAGGTTTTGAGAATTATAATACAGTCCAAAGATGAATGTATTTAATATATCAATATTCATTATTTCCCACAACAGCTTGTGCAAGAAACATAATACTTTTTTCAAAATCGTAAATTTCTGTTCATCATTTAGCCATTTTTTTTTTGCAGTGCATTCTATAGAATTCATGCGTCCTGAAAAGAAATCACAATTTCATATGTAATATACTTCTTCAAATATCAAACAGTGTTGTATGTTAGTAGGCTATCAATAATATGTCAACTGTTGTCCGATTCATAGATTGATATGCTCACCTAAAATATAGTCACAAGATTTCCATTTTAATGATATCAACAAAAATAAAAAAAATATTACCTATAATTTCAGCACATGCATTTAAAGATTGCACAGACAATGGATCGTGGTATGTTGACCCAGAAACAAACAAGACATGGACAGACTACAGATCATGTGTGCCAATTGATGTAAGTGTCAAGTAGTATCGGAACAGACATAGTCATATATATAATACACTGTAGAAAAAAAATAAAGACAAAATGTTATAAATTTCATGCGTCCGAAGCACTTTTCTGGATTTACCTTCATCAGGAACGCTCAAAGCCGAATATTTGAAAGCTAATGATTAATAAGAACTGAAACAGTTGAAGAGCTATATTACCAAAAATACCTAGAAAAATAGCCAAAAATCCATGCAAGGTCAACTTTGCCTGAGGGAGGTGAAACCTTGTTATGTTATAAATCATGTCAGTACCGAAGTACTGACCACTGGGCTGATGATACCCTCGGAGACTGATAGTCCACCAGCAGAGGTATCGACCCAGTGCTGTAAAAAATGAAAACAACACGTTATAAATTTCGTGCGTCCGAAGCGCTTTTCTTGATTTACCTTCATCAGGAACGTTGAGAGATAACAAACATCTGAATACAACATTTTACGCATCATTTTTCTATACAAAAGTATGCCAGTTGTCTGGTAACTAATAAATCGAGAGAAAAATAACGAATTTCAGCCAGGTTCATATCGCCTAACGGATAGCAAAAGAATTTGATCATCGTGATTTGTACAAAACACCCATATTGTGTGACATTACAATCAGAATCATCGGGTTGAAAAATTAAACTCCGAACGTTACTATAAAAATAAGATGTGGTATGAGGCAACTCTCAAACGGAGATCAAATGGCGTTGAATATGTCAGACCACCAATTTAAAATCCCTATCTATTCAACCAAATTTTGCAATTTTCACAGCTTTCTTAATGTTTTACCTTAAGTTTAACTTCATAGAAACCAGGTATATCCTGAATTGTACATGTATCAACTTTCTATGTGCCAATTTTCAACCCATGTTTAAAGTCTTGTAAGAAAGAACTGCATTTGGGAAGACAAGTACTAGTAAAAATAACCCCTGGTGTCCTGGAAATCTTAAATTAGTATATTATGGAGCGCATTAATCCTCAATTTTTTATGCAAACTCATAGACAAGTAAATTTTGGCTCAAAATGATCAAAATATATTTCTCTTTCACCAAAAGTTTCATTTCTGCAAATTTGTTGGTTGGTTTTAGTAAATAATGAAATCAAAAGCACTATTTTGTGTCAGAGTAGGGCTACTTTTACATACGTTTTAAATTGGAGGGAGTGATGGTCTGACATCTTCAAGGTTATCAACTGTAGGTCACTGCATGGTCACATTTTATTATCTGGATTCTGATTGGTTGTGTATGTCGTAAGTGTCAGTACGTTCCACACTTCTGTTGTTTTTGTCTTGTATATGTCGTGTACAAGTTGTGTTTTGTACAAATTCTTCATATAATTCTTCACATGAATATTTGTACAAATTTATCTTTTTTTCCATCCTCTTATTACAATTGGCTTTCATTTAAATAACATATCACTGTAATATCATTGTGACTACATGTACTACAGTCTCATACATGAACATAATATTGATACAGAGTTTATATACGGAGATTGTATTCAGATATTTGGGGAGGACTAAGAATCTGGTGTTCTGCTGGTTAATTATTAAAGTTGTATCAAATGGTGAAAGAAAGAACATGTCAAAATACCCTATTACTGGTGCAAAAAGCCTGACATTGTACAATCTGTAGACCGCGTGTTTTGTTGAAGAGAATTACTAGTAGCCGTTGGGCTGTTCGCAATCCAAATTTAAATGAATACAAAATTATTTTTTCTATAGATATGAAATTATTTATCAAACTTTAAAAACTTTATTGATATATTCATTTCCTTTAAATTAAAAAAAAATCGTTTTCGCTTACTAATATTTATTCTGTAACATTTTACTAGTATATTATTCACAATTCTCTTAATTTACATATTAAAACTAACATTCTTTTTGTCTAACCGTCTCGGTAATCGTCGTGTGACGTGATATTTGTACCAAAGATTGCACATTTTACGAGCAAAACTCGTCCTTTTGCACTCCAAAAGTATGTCTTTCTGACTGTTACTTTGTTAATTATCATACTATATAATAGGACTCAAACTGTTTGTTTAGATTTAGTATAACACAAGCTTCCCATAAACATATTTTCATTCTGATTTATTTGGTTGAAAGATTGCTAACTGGATATAAAAATACATCCGTCTACTATTACTTACATATTAGAGAAATACTATAAACTAGTATAATGCATATATGTAAAATACAATTTACAAATTACAATGGTATAGTCTTACATCTGTACAAACCTTAAGCATGTTGTTTTTTTACCTTTCAGCACCCAATGATACTAGTGTACATTAGTCTAGCTTGCAACATAATTAGCCTTTTGCTACTTGTTCCTTCTTGTGCTATATTTCTGGCTTTCAAGTAAGTACAGAATATATATATAGTTTAGTTTTTTGCAGAAGAAATCTTTGATTTTATTGAGACCATAATGGTTTACGAAAGTCTTGAAAAAACTAATTACATAGCTAAAATAAAAATCATAAAGACAATATGAATAGATCATGCAAGGTTCTTAATACACTATAATCCCTTAGAATATGTTATTCCTGTTCAAAACTGAGTCCCGTCTCTACCATAGCTAAAGACACAGATTATTTCTAAGGTATTTTCTTAAAATTGGTTTATAAAGCCAAGGTGATCATGAAGGCTACTTTGTCCCCTTTAAATTTATTCTGTCAGGTTAAACCTGTCAAAATGCTTCAATAAATCAATAACGAGGGAAGAAAAACAGATTGTGTCTATCATGTTATTTGAAATAGAATTAACCACCATGTGGAGACCATATATTTTCTCATAGGCATATATCCTACGTTACCTTAATGACCAATGTTAAGTAGCTTTCTTGTCAACAGCAAGACAATATCAACATATTTTGATGTATTCTGAAGCTAATTCAAACCTAAGAGATATGTATATATACAGGTACTCCATTTTGAGATGCTTTGAAAGTTCTAAAAAAAGATGAAAAGAAATATAAACTAATTTCAGTGCACAAGACACGTGTTTATGAAATCCAACATCAGATACCCTCCAGACAAAACGTTGAGATTCAAATTTTACATAAACCGCTGTGAGCATGCAGCAAAATCGTTGTGAACAGCAAAATTAAAAGGACATAAGGAGAATAGCCTAAACCGTCTTTTGTCAGCTTTTAGGGAGTTGTTGCTTTAGTTTTAAGAGCATTTTATAATTTATAAAGAGAAAAATTTACAAAAATATTTCATATAAATCAAGCTTATATTACCCTCGGAATAAACTGTCTTCATCAAGGGTATCAACACATTGGTAGTCAGAAAAACTTACAGTTTTCATTGGTTCACACCATACGTACTTATGGAATATATTTCTGAGACTTGGCTTTCAAATTTTCGGCTTGGATCGTTCCTGATGAAGGTAAATCCAGAAAAGCGCTTCGAACGCATGAAATTTATAACGTGTTCGTTTACTATTTTTTAGACTTAAGGTCAAGACGTCACTTAAATAAAACGTTGGAAATATTTTAACCAAAAGGTCCTTAAACAAATTCCCTGTTTGTATTTAAATATTTCTATTTTACAAAAACAACATAAAAAACGCAAAACACCTGATTTTTTCCTCGATTAACAACAATTTAATGTAAATGGCATTATGGTACAGGTTGGTAGAAAAAAAACTTACCGGGTACTCTAAATGAACTTATTATTAACGAATGATAAATAAAACTTGAATTTTGTACTGTAAAAAGAGAAATTTCTCAATATTTGTGAGAAAGTTCTCTGAAAGAGGTAGTCGATCCCAACAGCAGGGCAATTTCCGAAAAGTCCTACAATCTTTACTGAAATTCACAGTATGACGCTTTATGTGTGTACTTTGAGATTCCAACATCATTATGGTGTATTTCTGAACATGTTTCCAAATTATAAATACCTGAATAACACTTACGGTACCAATGTTACTGAACCAGATGTGCATTCGACAATTATTGTCTCTTCGGTGATGTTCGAAGACGAAATATTTGAAAAATCTATTGCAAACGTTGAAGACCTGATAAAACTAATAAGGACATAAATTATAACCAAATCCGGACAGGGAATTTTCACGAGGGAGATATAAAGATGTAAAAAAAAAACAGCAATATAGGTAGATTTTGACAAATTTTGAGTAACTATCTTAATCAAAGTACTGAAGAACTGAACATCGGATGACCGCAAGTTCTGGTGGATGGTCTCAGAAAAAATCATATCTCTATACCTGAAAGTTAGGTTAAGGTTCATAGATATATTTTTTTCTGAGACAAGTTCCTGTGTGGATGATGAATTATAAATGGCAGGGAATTTAACCTCACCGTAATAATTATTATATTGTAGAGATATAATCATTTGTGATCAGTATAATCTGGTTTGTTGTTATATATTATATTAATATTAGTATAACAGTTATATACATGTATATAGCAGATCATCTCTCGAGATATTCTTCCGCATGCTTTAATACAAATTTTCGGTATTCATGATTTGTTACTGATATATATATATTTCTCACGACAAAACATTTTCATATCATTTATCTATGTTCTTAACAAATATTTTCATGAGTATTCATTGAAGAAATGAATTTATAGCAAGCGATAAGGAATGTTATTTTGCATTCGATAATGTCCGCGTATTTATACGAAATTTACGTTCGGTTATCAGTCAAAAGCGCAAGGAAATTTCTGCGGCAACATAACACCGGTATGACCTCTCAAGGTCACATCCGATGTAAAAACGAACAGAAAAGACATTCCTAACCAAAATAAAAATAAAAATCTATTGCAAGGAAAGTTATGTTTTGTCTTTAAGATAATTAATTCGTGTTGGTTGAGGATGTCCTTCGCTGTATAACGTTTTACAAACAAAAAAAAACATGCATTGTATCAAAATTACCTCAACAGCAATATATAAATAACGTATAAATACCAGTGGGCCATGACCGTTGGGCCATGATGTGTTTTTTACTTTCGGATTTTCCCTGTGTGAGCAATAAACTTGAAATTGACCTTACAACACGATGTCGCCCCAGTTTTCTACCATTGTATAACAAAAATATCACTTATCACTCATCCATTTACATTGCGAAAATAAATCTTTAAAAAGATATTTAAAATTGGCATCTCATTTGTTCAAATTACTAATTTTGGCATGCACTTATCTTAAAATTGTTATAAATATCAGCGGATCAAAGATTGTATTAAGTTCAAATGTTTTCTTTCTATATTTCAGACAGTTACGTAACCAGCACAGAATCAAACTACACATATGTTTCTTTACCTCTTTTATACTGGTATCAGTGGTGGCTGTAATGTGGGATTTCCTTGTCCATTTCAATAGACTGAATACAAGTTCAGATAGCACACTTCAGAAGAATACGGTTAGTTGAAATGCATATATGTCTGAAGGACAAACAACACAGCCAATATATAAAAAAAGACAACGATCCACAAATCATTACACATAAATAATATAAAACTCGAACCGGACTAAAACATTTATTTAGGTCAACCCAGTTGCTGTGGAAAGGGTACATAGCAAGCAGATCACAGATAAAGCTTCCTCCGCATCATAAATAGACATTGTTTATTGTTGATATTCACCCCATATGTACCAAGTGTTAGATTAGTTTTATTGATATTAAAGAAATTTCTTGGTATTCCTAAACGGAAGATTTTATACACACAGAAGAAGAAGTATACTTAACAACAAAATTATTTTCATTTCCCTGTGTATAATATGACGCAGGTTTCTTCAAAAGTGATGATTTTCTATAAATTGTTTGAAATTTCACAGTGATATCATACTTTAACTTTGTTTAAACCTGTTTATTTACTTTTGACTTTAATTATTTATCCCTTGTAATTTTTTATTAACTGTGTATTTGCATTCAGGTGTCACAGGTCAAATTTATTCGTTCATTGTGTGTTAATTTACGTTTTTTGATTGAGTTGAGCCTTTCAATTGATATTTTATAGTGTGTTTTTCTATGTTGCGATGTTATACTATTTTTTCAGAAAAGGGAGAAGGGTTGGTACCATTAAAACGTTTAATCCCGCTGCAAATGTTTGCACCTGTCCTAAATCAGGAATCTGATTACAGTAGCTGTCGTCTGTTTATGTAGTTCATAAGTGTTTCTCGTTTCTCGTTTTTATATAGATTAGACCGTTGGTTTTTGCGTTTGAATGGTTTTACACTAGTATTTTTTTGGGGCCCTTTATAGCTTGCTGTTCGGTGTGAGCCAATGCTCCGTGTTGAAGGCCGTACCTTGACCTATAATGGTTTACTTTTATAAATTGTAACTTGGATGGAGAGTTGTCTCATTTGCACTCATACCACATCTTCCTATATCTATTTACCTCGAATTCGATAACAACAGTCATCTCAGTATCAGAATATATGACAAACGAGACGATTCCTTAGCAGCTATATACCAACTTCACCCGCGTATGAAGTATACATTTTCAACTCATACGATATTCAAGAGCTTGAAGCTGCTACTCAGACTTTGTAAAATGTTATCGGTGTCTGCGCAAAAAAAATGATGAACCAGGGTTTTGTCAAAGAACGTCTCGTTCTTTTCACAAAAAGTTCATCGGAAAGTACCATCACCTAATAGATAAATATACAGTATAAAAATAAGGAGATATGGTATGATTATCAAAGTTCAAATGAAGTGTATGTAAGCAATTATATGCAAGCGTACGGCCTTCAAAAAGGAGAAAACCCCATACTGTATAGTCTGCTCTAAAAGTCCCTGACATGAAAAATATGAAACAATTCAATTGAGAAAACTAACGGATTAATTTATAACAAACAATTTACGAAAAACAAATATGACAGACATGAACCAATGACAACCACTGAACTACAGGCTCCTAACTTGGGACAGGCACATATAGAATGTGGCGGAGTTTAATATATTCGAAGGCGACAACCCTGTGATGTAACGGCACAACACATGAACAAACTATAAAAATCAGATGAAAAGGGCTTAACTCATCAGATCAATACAAAGCAGAAAAAACATCTCACAGACCGGACGTGGCAGGATATTTATTCATCCCTTAAAACAGCTGAAATATTAGTAGTAGAACACTTACTAGAGACGAGATGAAACGATATTTTACTTCTATTTTTTTAAGTTAAGGTAACCGATACATAGTGGGGACCTTCAAATGTTCAGAGGAGGCCTAGCTTAAGCGGAGCTGTGGTAGTGACATGATTATTTACTATTTGATTCTCTCATCGGAGCGTACAGCCTTGAATGTAGCTGAATGTATAATTTAACCTTGAGGACTTCCGTGTAGTGTTTACGTCATATCACCACCACATTGTGTCTACTTCACAAATAATACAAGATGCTCTTAAGTTATAGATTCTAGGTGCTGAAGTTGTGTATTTTTTTTTTTACTTTTTAGTTTCCCCGTTATTTGTCTTCGTGCTTTTATGTTTCTTTTGGTCCTATGACTTTTGACGTGACTCGGTATTTATGCATCCCACCATCGGGTTTTTTGACTTTTTAACTTTGTGCATTCCTGGTGCAGGTGGGTCCTGAGATGCGATTCGGACACCAAGGGTTTTTACAGTGTTGTTTCTATTTTGTTAATCCTAGTATTTTATATTTACTTATTTTTTACTTTATCGAGAAAGTGTATACTATATACGGTATGTACTATCAACGACAAATACTTATTTTGTTGACCGTCATTGATGTCCTTTTTATGCGAATGTAATACATAGTTAAAATTAACATTACTTTAATTACTTTGCACATTTTGAAAACTATTAAAGTGTAAGGATGAATGCTTTGAATTAATATCTAATTGTCCATAACACTTCACAATATGATATTTCAACAAAATAAAAGTCCGTATTGAAATATCGATATGTCGTGGGTCGTGAGTGATGATCTTCGACGTCACATCGTTAATGAGAAAATTATTTCTGTCATAAAAATACTGGTTAAATAAACAGACCTAAAACAATAACTATTATCGTGTGAAAAGGATGTGAATTCGTGTCTGCATCAAAAATGCGATTTTGCATATTTTGATTTAGCAAATGTTGTCGAATAAACGTCTTTTATGAAAAAGATAGTTTAGTCATAGTGCTCAATTACCTTTTAATAGTAAGACTTCTTTACTTTGTGTAAAATCATATTATTGTTGATGCTCAGATTTTGTCAATACTAAATGAACTTTGAATATTGGGTCGAGTTATTTTTCTTATAAACCGCAGCTACATTTTTTTTGTACTAACCAATATACCTTCTTTTAATTACAGAGCGGTTGTAAGTTACTGAATGCCTTGTTGCGATATACACAAACATCTAATTATTTCTGGATGTTTTGTGAGGGATTTTACCTCCATCGACTTATTGTACATGCATTCAAAGTACCAAAAGGGCTGCTCGGCTATTATGTTATGGGTTGGGGTAAGCATTTAAACCCTTTACTTTTATAATATGTGAATGTTACTTATATATCATATCATATGTAAACGATATGCAAATATATGATATGCAAAGAAAGCTGATTGAATTTTAAATCTTACAATTTGGACATATATAAAAAGATAGTTGGTAAAATATACAGAATAATTTCCGAAACTAACCTTTTGTAACCATGCACTTGTCTAAATGTGATTAATCTCCCGGAATACCGTTTTTCATCTCCGCTAAAGATAGTAAGGTGTCATTATGTTTTAAGGTCTGTTCGTCCATGTCTGCCGTATCAAGCTAGTTATTTGTTCAGTTAATTTACCATCAAATTGTTGTAACATCAACTTTAACTTGGTATAGATGTTTAATGTGAACTTTTGAAATCATATGCAAATTTACAGTTTCGACCTCGAATTCGCGGTTTTCTCAACTTAGAAATGTGATTGTGTGAAATCAGAACATTCTCATGTTAAAGTTATTGGTTGAGGTGGTTTACCATGAAGTTGTGGTTACATATGCTGTATCAAATTAGCACTTTTCTGGAGTAGTATTTGAAACAAAGAAACTGGACAGAATGCATGGAACAAAATGAATTGTGTTTTTTATTAGGTGGTTTTCGCATTGACATGATGGTTAACGTCGATTTTGTTATAAATTACAGGTATTGCATGGGTGCCTGTGGTAATTTATTCTATTATCAGAGCTACAGATGAAGATTTGGACGAAAGGTATATAAATTAACCTGTTAATTATTGAGAAGACATTCGTCTAGTATTTATTCTATTATATTTTTATTGGGTTATTTAAAGTCCTCTACCTAATTTATAACATATATCTATACAGTTATGTTTGTACATTGCTTTCTCTATAGCTTTAAAAAAAATCTAAATACTGCGATGAAAGCCAAGAATTAAAAAAAACTCAACCTCATAAGATATGCTATGCAACTGCGAGACGAATGTTTACACTTCTAAACTCCGTGTGCAGTTCGTGTAATTTATCCAATGTATGTATTCGTATTCAACAACGTTATATGTCTGTAACAGTTACGGTAGTAATAAAATGTCAAGTGATTTTTTAAACGATGGAAACTACATAAAGAATATTTGTATAATCAAATTTGACAGATTTAAATTAAAATCTTTTATTTTTAAACGGCTAAGCATGTTGGCATGCAATACTAACTTAACATAGTTATAACAACATATACAAAATATGGTGGCCTCCATATCTTACATCCAATAATCGAGATATTGTGGACATTAATGAGATAGAAACTTAACGACACAAACTATAAAAGACATGTATATATTGATTATTAGTAACTTTAGTTGTAAAGTTGTGCTTCCGTTTATTTTTATCCCGCATGTTTTTGTATTCATATGAATGATTCATTTACTATATATACTTCAAGTTCGTTAATTGCTTGGTCAATGGAAATAAATGAAGAATGACATTTTGTAATTGCATTTATCAAATTTATAAAAATAATTGTGCTTTTTACATCGCGATGACCTTGAGGTCATTTCGATGTATTGCTATCGCCTAAATTTCCATTAATGCATACATTATGCAAATTAGTTTTGGGATTTTAACCGATCTATAAATATGATAAATACGCGCACATAAACTAGTGCAAAATAACATTCCTTATCGTTTGATATAAATACATCTCTTCAATGAATACTGATTAAAATATTTTTGTTAATTAATAATATGAAAATGTTTTGTAGTATATATATATATATATATATATATATATATATATATATATATATATATATATAAGTAAAAAATCATTGATTATATCAATGCACACGTACCGATAGTCTAGGAACCTGACACAATATTCTCAATATCGTAAGCGGACTTCCGGTTCGAATAAATATAATTTGCGGGAAAATATGAATGGTTACTCGTATCCAAACTTTTAGAAAAATCGAATTTTTACAGAAAAGTGTCCGCCATGCACTTGCATTGCACTATCATATTTTTTTCTGAGACAAGTGCTTTTTACCATCCACAAGAACTTGTGGTCATCCGATGTTCAGTACTTCAGTACTTTGATTTAGTATTAAAATCTTCCAATGTATGTGTTGATGTGGAACATTTAGTCTTAAAATCGTAATTTTAATTATAAACATATTTTGATTAAAACAAACCGTTGAAAATTTCTTCATATAAGCTTTTTAGAAATTATTGTTTGAATTCAGTTAATAATCTGTTATCCAACAGAAAATTGCGTTACCTTTTAAAATTTGATTGCATGGATTAAAATGTCTTCTGCCTCATCAAATCCTGTTTTATTCACCATAAACGATCACAGAGAATTATCTAGAAAACAGTACGACTGCTTGCTTTCACCTAGAACTTGTTAATTAATACATGGAAACAAGACAGCAGGAGGTACTGCTAAAACTTAATCAACGTTGACTGAGTTATTCTAAATTTGAATTATCATATTAAACATTATATGCTGAATTAAATGTCCTTTTTTGACGACACTATTGATAATTGAACCACAATTCGTAAGCTGCAAACACTTTTTGTAAGATCATTATTTGCTGATGCATCTGTTTCTAGTAATTCAAATGTCCTTATATGCCGTATTGAACATTAAAAAGCAACCAATTCCGGTAGATTGACGTGAAAAACAAATGTTAGATTTTCACTTTAGTAAAGTTTGTTGATAGTCATTTAACAATCTCACTTGAACGCATTCTACACGAGGAAGTATTAGGGAAATTTATGAGAAAAAGCCCACTGTTTACGTCTAACCTAGGCTGCAAAGTTCTGATATGACCTTGAATTATTACAATGTACTAAGGACACATAAAAATTCCCTTTTCTTGATTTCTGACTTTCCATGTCGCATGATTTTTTTTCAGTATTTTTTGCGAACCAAATGAAAGTTTTCCACAGAGTCGTCTGCTCTTGACCAGGGTATTTAAACTTTTGTCTATTCTCTTGTCCTATTGAATAAATACAATAGATATTGTTCTCTGTGTAGTTTTTTTACTGGGACCTTTAAATTTCTTCTAGGAGAAGTCTATCACTCATTGATTAATTTACCTGACCAAAAAATTATCTTCTTTTTTCGGGGAAATAGTTGTATAAACTCGCATAAACTCCATGCAATATTGTATTTAATCAATATCAATAATATATTTTCAATCTGTTCAATATAAACACTGATTTAATTATAAAAAGTTTATTTCTGACAAAATTTTTAGTATTGTTCCATTGTATTTGCATGTTTTTGATTTTGTTCAGTTATAGAATAGATTTATCAAGACCTTAATTTAAACACAATAATTTTCAAGTTTTTATTTGTCAAACACACAAAAAAAAGCAAATTTTGCTAGGGAAAATATTAAAAATTTGTTCAGAAATCAACTTTTAATTTTTGAATCAAAAATGAATTATTGATATTGAATAAATACAACACCACATGCAGTTTTTTGAGTCCTTATTTAGTATTTGTACATGTATTTTCATTATTGACAGTTCAATTTTTTGTTCAGGTAAATTAATCAGTGAGTGATAGATTTCTCTTTGAAGAAATTTAAAGGTCCCATCAAATAAACTACACAGAGAACAATAACTATTGTATTTATTTGATGGGACAAAAAAACTTACTAAAGTTTAAATCGACAGGTAACTTGCAGGTGAATCTGTGGAAAAATATCATTGGGTTCGCAATAAACGTTATTTTTCCCTTCTATTTTATATCGAACTGCTGCTTTCAGAAACATGTTTAAGACTGAAAAACAAAAGCTTTCATCTTGGCACCTTGATTTTCAAAACTTGTCACCGACTTATTAATTAATACGGTCATACTGTTTACAATATAAACAACCATCCTTCTAATCCAGTAATATAATTAATGTATTTTACCATACTCAAAAGACGGGAAGTATGATATATGTATGGACTTTTTTTGGACTACAATAACGAGACTGAACATTCTTTTGAGAAGGTGCGGTTCAATGCAAAATTGTTGGAATAGTAAAACAATAAATTGAAAGAGAATTGTCAATCCAAGCGAATTTTCCAAGAAAAGATGTGGTATACTAATATTTTTTTGCATTTTTCGCTGAAAAGTGTGAAAAGGGGATCAAAACCTCGCTCTTTCAACATCATTTTTAAATGAGAGTTCTATTAACCTCACTGTTCCTTATGTTCCGACGCATACGTTTAAAAAAATGTAATTCTTTAAACATTCAAAGTTATGTTAGTTTTTATTGATAAATGAGTTGGACGGTATAGCCTTATCTGCTGTTTATAGACAAATGTTGTTCCGGCTGTCACTATGACGTTATAAATATGTTATAATTTACCAAAAAAATTATTGTACATATAATTTTTTTGTATTAGATGTGAACATCAGCCTTTCATCAAAATATGTGTAACAGATATATATTCGGAAAATATTTTTTGATAAGGCTACTTAAACATGAATACCAACATTTATGGTCTTATTATCAGTACAATACAATATGATTTAATCCATCAATTGGTTATTGATTGATTGTTGGTGTTTCACGCCACTTTCATCACAGATGGCTATTTGTATTGGTGGAGAAAGCCGGAGTACCAATCGAACAAACGCTCCTCTTGTTGACCATTTTGAATGTCTCTCATATATCTGTCTATTAATTTACATTTTGATATGGTTTGATTCAAAACGCATATGGTTTGATTTACATTTGATATCGTTTGATTTACATGTGATATACATGTGATATGGTTTGATTTACATGTGATATACATGTGATATGGTTTGATTTACATGTGACAGGAGCCTGTAATACAGTAGTTGTCATGTGTTACTATATATCATATTTATTTTTCGTTTATTGTTTTGTACATAAATCAGGCCGTTAGTTTTCTCGTTTGAATTGTTTTACATTTGTCATTACGGGCCCTTTTATAGATTACTATGCTATATGGGTTTTACTCATTGTTGAAGGCCATTCGGTGACCTATAGTTGTTAACTTCTGTGTCATTTGGTGTCTGGAGGAGAGTTGCCCATTGCCAATCATACACTTCTTATTTTGATATATGCTATGGTATGGTTTACATGTGATATGGCTTGATTTACATGTATAGTGTCTATTTATTTCATTTACTTGATAGCATTTAAGGAGATGAGTAAAATGAATTGAATTTTTTAAATTTGAATTGTATAAGAAAGGACATTTATTTTGATTAAATCAATTAACGGAATTAAGGAATATAATCTTTTCAATTTAAATTTAAATTTAATTTCTCAAAATTTTCAGGTGTTGGGTGACTGATGCTGGCCACTACGAATGGATCATATTTATACCAAATGTATTGTGCCTCTTTGTAAGTTTTTAATTTAATAGAATTAATATTTTGACAATAAAATCCCTTTCTGTCAACTTTTATATGCGTAAAGATGCTATTCAAGAGTAGGTTATGTACACTTATTAAATTAAATGGTGGTCTATAATTTCATTGCATGAGGACACTTAAGTGTGCGATTACCTCCAGACCACCGATGAGTAACTATAATACATGCCAGTAGACTAAGGACATCTTTCCAGTGTTTTAGGCAGTCCCATAAAGTAGTTGAGATAGACCGGAGTCACTCTAACCGGTCGATGTCAACCAACATTAACTATTTAAAAGAGGATCCCCATGTGTACATGTAAGCGTCCACATTGTTTTTATAATATCTGTAGACAGGTTGTCCTTATGTATAAGTTCTCTTTATTGCATTTTCTTTTTTAAGTTGTGCGCCTGCTTTTATGAAATTGTTTGAGGATATATTTCTCATTTTTACAGACTTTGAAACTTAGTTGTTTTTCGACAAAATTTAAAACCTCTATGTATTTGCAACTACATTGTAAACATTCTACATTGATTAGTCACAAATATTGCAACTTGGCCATTAGAGACTTTGACCCATTTTTTATACGCCCGTCAATTTTTGACAGGACGAATTATGGTATACAAATGTCCGGTGTCCGTCCGTCCGTCTGTCTGTCCGTCTGTCCGTCTGTCTGTCCGGCGTAAACATGTCGCACCGTAACTTGAGAACGACTTTTCCAAATTTCATGAAACTTAACATAGTTGTTTCTTATGATGGTCAAACGATCTGTATACTTTTTGGTGAAAATAAGATTAAAACTTTTTGAGTTACGGGACTTAGTAACTAAAACAGGTGTGTGTTTTTTTCACATGTCGCGCCGTATCTCAAAAACAGTCTATGATTATTGCTTAAAACTTTACACACTTCTTAGTTATATTAATCTTAAGATCTGTATACTTTTTGGTGATGTTTAAAAATTTTATTTTAGAGATATTGAGTATTTTGTTAAAAAAGGGGGAGGGGTTTTTCACATGTCGCGCCGTATCTCAAAAACAGTTTATGATTATTGCTTAAAACTTTACACACTTCTTAGTTACATTAACCTTATGATCTGTATACTTTTTGGTGATGATTTAAAATTTTATTTTTGAGTTATTAAGTATTTTGTAAAAAAAAGGGGGGGGGGGGTTCACATGTCGCGCCGTATCTCAAAAACGATTTATGATTATTGCTTAAAATTTTACACACTTCTTAGTTATATTAATCTAAAGATCTGTATACCTTTTGGTTTTGATTCAAAATTAATTTTTTGAGATATTGATTTTTTTTTTAAAGGGGGGTTTTCACATGTCGCGCCGTATCTCAAAAATGATTTATGATTATTGCTTAAAATTTTACACACTTCTTAGTTATATTAATCTAAAGATCTGTATACTTTTTGGTTTTGATTCAAAATTTTATTTTAGAGATATTGAGTTTTTTGTAAAAAAAAAAGGGGGGTTTTCGCATGTCACGCCGTATGTCAGAAACTATTTATGCTTATTGCATAAAAATTCACACACAAGACGACGAACGTATCATGCGCTCATGGCGCAGCTGTTTATTTTTTCTTTTGGTGTTTTTTGTTTTAAAATATAGAACAAACAGATAAAAGAGAGGCAATAGATACCCAATGGACATTCAAACCCAAAAGTCGAAAACAAACTGACAATGCCATGGCAAAAAAAAAAACGAAAAACAACAACATACAAACAACAGTAAACAAAGCACAACATAGAAAACAAAAGACTGAGCAACAAGAAAACCACCAAAAACCGGTGGTGATCTCAGGAGGTCAGGAAGGGTAAGCAGATCCTGCACCACTTGTAGCTCTTGTCGTGTTGCTCGTGTAAGTACAAACTCGGTGATGAGTCTAATTCAGTAGGTCATATTCGAGGAAAAGAGGACGGGATTGTGGTTACGACAATTGGAATACATTCGTCGTCTTCTGTGAAACATATATTCCATAACGGTAATACAACTCGTGATGGCGTCCGTAAAATTTTCGAAGGGATGATTTCAACTTCACCATTTGGTATTCTTGGTTTAATAGCTTCTTTTGTAGCCAGCAGCCCTCTACCAAGGAAATCATGATAATGCAAAATAGACGTTAACTGTAGACAGATAAACGATCAGCAATACAAAATCAACAAAAACGATTTTAGTCAAGAAATTAATTGAATGTCTTCAATGTTTGAAAGTGGCCATTGATGAGGATGCACATATATTTAGGTTAGGGACATATGGTCTTTACAGCCTTTAGTGTTTGTCTTTATCCTTTCTTCATGATGTTGTCTGTTCCCGTTTAACCTAAGATTATTTACTCCAGGGAAATTGTCTTATTAATAATAATTTGTTTTTCATTACCAATCAAAACTTCTCTTTTAAGATGAATGTGGTATTTTTCGTCAACATATTGAGGATTCTGCTTACGCAGTTGCAATCTCATCCAAATGAGCCTAGTAATTACAGGTAGGTGAAGGCTGAATTTTCGTTTGTTACATCTAATTTCAGTGTATATACTTTTAATACGTATTAGCAAGGATTTGTATAGTAAGATACAAATCCTTGGTATTAGACAAATGTATCAGTAAGAAAAATAAATATAGTAACGCAAATCTTGTAAAACTGAAATAGATTTATAATAACATTTACCAAAGACGACACACTACATTTGCATGACATCAACCCACACATTTGTTTTTACTATACTCCATCGTGAACATTTACTAGATTTTCAAACTTTTATTTTTTTCACTCAAAATGATGAGATTGAAGTTTGTTTTGCATGCTTTTGTTTTTATGTATTGTGCTGAAAGAAGTCAAATAAGCATACCTATCATCTCTACAATATGGTTGTCTAGAGACATGTTGGACAAGTTTAACTGTCTTCTTCGTAAATAATATATACCATAGATATAAGAAGATGTGGTATGAATGCAAATGAGACAACTCTCCATCCAAGTCACAATTTGTAAAAGTAAACCATTATAGGTCAAAGTACGGCCTTCAACACGGAGCCTTGACTCACACCGAACAGCAAGCTATAAAGGGCCCCCAAAATGACTAGTGTAAAACCATTCAAACAGGAAAACCAATGGTATAATCTATATAAAAAACGAAAAACGAGAAACACTTATGAACCACATCAACAAACGACAACAACTGAACATCAGGTTCCTGACTTAGGACAGGTGCTATCTTTAGTTCAATTGGAGTGCTTTCTATATGATACCATATTTACTTTGCAGGCGGGCATTAAAAGCTACATTTGTTTTGATCCCATTGTTTGGTATACAGTGGGGGTTCGTAATACACAGACCAGGATTTACATTGTGGTATGAGGTAGTACGAATTATTGTTCAGTATACACAGGTTTGTACTTTCAATTTGATATTTTAATTGACATATTAACTTGCTTTCCTCAATCACGTCATATATTTGTTTCGTGATGCTCTACATTTTTGTACATATTCCATTTAAGTTATAGCCATGATAATAACAAGCCATAAAGATCGAATGAGATATCATATTTACACTATGGAACGACTAAAGGAATATTGACTATTATAAGCGATCACTTTGGTTCAATTTAGTCAGAATGAGCTAAAACATCGTAGATTTATTATTTGCTTTCAAGTTATTAAACTCATTTGAATCATGGCCATGTTCATGCGACCTTCAAGTTGACCCTCAGCTAGAGATGGGTTACGCCTGTGCTAATTTTTTTTAGTTATTTAAAAGAAAAGAATGTCAACGTTGAAAAGTGAAACAAAAGAGACTCGTGAAGAACAACTTCTTTGACTGATTTGGCACACAAAAAATTATTCTCTTACAGTTATAACAATGATTTACTGTAAATTCAGAAATTATTGCGAGGTTTTTTTTTAATGGGAATAATGCGACTGGGTGATTATTGCAATAATAAGAACTCGTATTCGGATGTCTAATACATATATCTGTATGCAGATATTTCTAAAATCGCAATAACTAATCTCGCATTTTTGTCAAATCTATAAAAATGGCAATAATAAATGCACGCTATAATTTCTGAATTTACAGTACATATTTTTTTAATCTATGACATAAATGAAACAGACGTAGAAAAATTGTGGTTAAACGATTGCAGTCAGTCGTTGTAATATGGCCAATTAACGAATGGGAGAGTCGATCACGGGGAGGGGCTAAATTACGCGGGTTAAGATTTCACGTGCTTGTCTATATGTTAATATTTATGTTGTATCGGGTCATATGACTATTCAGCATCCGTTGGAGGTGATCCCGATGGATAATTAAATGGCATCTAGTTTAAAATACACATGCACACAATGCTGATACATTATAACGAAATAACAAGTCCATGAATTCTTTGTTGTTTCCTTTTAGATTTTTCGTTAATTGGATACACATTTTAGTATGTTATAGATTAAATATGTGAATTTGAGTCAAATCGATGAACATGAATTTGACAGCTTATGTAACATACAATAATGTTCCCCGTGAAATATTGTCCGTCGGACTATAATTCATATAAAATATAGTCCGCGGACACTATTTCATAATGAAATACTGTCCAGGACAATATTTCATAATGAAATAGTGTCCTTGTCCATGAAAGTTTGTCACCTCCTTCTAGCCAATATTTCACTATCAAATAGTGTCCATGACAATATTTCACTGTGAAATTCTAACCATGAATATATTTCACTGTGAAATACTGTCCATGAAAATTATTTTTCAATTTAAGTTATGTCTTCCCTGAGAAATCCTCTGCCATGAAATTGTGAGTGTTTCTGGAATTGTTTTGAAATATTTTTCATAAAAAGTATGTGTATTACCATGAATTGCTGCATAAATTAATAAAGCATTTTGTTGGTTATTATCAATCAAATAAAAACTTAAATGATATCATTATCCAAAATATTAAATGTTTACAACCTCCCCTCCTCACCAAATCTCATGACAATCCATCTATGAATATTGTCTCAATATTCACAATATATAACCTTGGATAACTTCCCTTTATGAAGACACAATTTCATACTATTTATCTATGAAATATTGTCTGTATATGGACGAAATTCCATATGGAAATTTGTCCAACTAAAGACATTATTTCATAGATGGGGACAAAATTTCATGATACAAAGTCACGAAATATTGTCAGGGGGGGCAATATTTTATAGGACATTATTTTGCTTTACACTTGTACCCCTTTAAACACTTTAAATGCATGGTTGATTGTGATCAGACAATACAACAGAGTTTTTTTTTCTCTCTCTTTGTATGTTTTACACTTGGTTGTTAATACATGTTGTTGTTTTTTCTATCTTTTCAGGGTGCTATTGTATCTCTTGTTTTTTGCATCTTCAACGGGGAGGTAAGGATGACGGGTAAAAATCAAACTTCCTAATATCTGTGTAATCATACTAGATAGCTTAAGTATATATATAACTATCAATATATTGTTGTCATTACTTTGTTGTCTTGGATGTGTATTAATTAAACCTTTCTGATCTTTTAAGATAGGTAGTTTACTTTGATAAGAATTACACTACGAGTAATTTCTTCTAAAATGAATGTATCTACATGTATTTGTTTTTTTAAGCAAGGTTATGAGAAATCGCTTAAAGGATCAAAGCAAATATTATTGAATGATGAAATGCTATATGTTTGGATCGCTAATCTTCTATGAAATTTTTCTGTCATTTGAAAACCTTTTTAGAACTGTAAATATTTTTTTTTATTAAGAACGCATGACAATTATTCAAATTCTTCTATTTCCCTTCTATTTTTTGAAAACATGTTTTAAAGGTTTGATTATTATATTTTAAGTTATAAAAACAATTTTTCTTTTATATCAGTAGACAAAGAATGTTGCTTATTGTCCACTTCATCAAAACTTTATTATTTATAATTCATGTTCCATTGCAAAAAAAATTTTCTTCAAAGAAAAAAAAAAGGTTTTGACGATAACACGCCATTAGCTTGTATCTTCCCTAAAGATAGTAATTTTAAGTGATTATAAACCGTGTGGCATCGCATTCAAATTAAATGTTTCAATGATATTCTAGTTGCAATCCATACTCCTTGACTTCTATGATATCAGATAGTTTCAATAATTAAAAATTAAAAAGATAGTAACTATATTTTCACATGTCTGAGTCCTTCCTATCAATTATAGACCTTTATACAAGTGTAAATATACACTGCTTTAAGATCATTTTGTTTGGCTTGAATTTTTTTAGCTGTTGGAAAACGTTATATTAATGATACATGTATATAGGCGAACACAACATATGTTTCTTCAGTCTCATGTCTTAAAATATGACGTACTTCACTTGTCTAAAGCATCACTATTATATTTATATAAAGTGTTAATTTTACTGCAGAACTATAATATATTATTATATCAGACACGAAAAAACGTGTATTTAATTATAGAATTATTAATAAAAATGTATAACGTATTTCTTTATATAAAATACACATTATATTTATAGGTACACTCGCATTTAAAAAGTTGCCTTCGAAAGAAATGGCCGAGTGCCTTCAGAGATGACCCTGGGCGATTTCAAAGCACGGTGTCTGGAACACAGTACTCGCACGTGTCGTCAGGGCGTCGTGGAACTCAACAAAATGATCACTATATCCCACTCAACACAGTACCAGACGATCAACTAAGACAAAACGGTCATGTTGGATAAAGCAATGTTATGAAATCAGTTCAGTAAATCTACCAGTATTTTTTCATCAGGATAGCTAAATCAAATGAACCAGTGCAAAATATTGACAAAGTTTCTGAAAGAAAGCTCCGTCCCCTTTATGTATTGATTCTGTTTACATAATATTTATAACACTTTTATTGTTGGTATGCAAATATTTTTTTGTTTTATTGTCAATGCTTGCTTCGTTTTGAAGATCATGCACACTTGAACGTTTATTGAATCACTGATGACAATCATAGACAGAAGAAAACATAGTTTTAATTAGAAATTAATCTGAAAAACATATTAACGTCTTTCTTGTTTTCTTTTCTCTAATAATTATTATAACTTTGGAACAGTCAAAATTAAAACATCATACACTTTCTCGAGAATAAAATACCACTGGTTAAAAACCTAATGAATGAAAAATTGAATAGGAAGTCCAATTTTGTGATTTAAAATGGAAAAAAAACTATAAAATAAGTTTTATTTTCCATAGGCGAGAGAACATATGTCGGACATGGGTGAGCGATGTCCCTTAGAAAACTCTGAAGACAAACACAAGACTAGTTTTGACCACTCTACACGAGTATACTTTTCATTAAAAAAATCTCAAAACATCATAAGACATTTCAACCACCCTTCAATCGTTATGCATGCCTTATTTTTCTTTTCTTATAATCTTTGCCTGTGAATTTTTATTTATCTTCAAATGTTGGCGATGTTAGCAGTTTTCAATTAACAATGCAAGGTACAATTGTGTTCAATGGATCAGTCCATTAGATTGTGAATGAGTTTTGTATCACTTCAAATAATAACTTTACAATAAAGGTAAAACGCCTTATACATTTTTAAAATAGACTGCAGTTTTGTATAATTGTCTGTTGGCAAAATTATATGTAAACAGTAAATGTACAAGACCTTCACAAATATTCAGGATATCTGTTGTAACATTATGCAGTTCGTCTTTTATACATGTGTGTGTGTGTGTGTGTGTGTGTGTGTACCAGGAGAGGTAATAAACTCTGACTCTACAATTGAAGGGAAATGTGTATCCAACACTATAAATGTCCTTATTAAAGTAGCAACTGTCGATACATAACAATTGGTCATCAACAAACAAAATCCTAAACTAACAAAAACACTACGATACTAATATCAACAATTACTGGCATGGTTTCTGACATTAGCATGTGGAATGGTTTAATTAGTGTTGTGAGTACTCAAACCACCCCTCTTTATTTTTTTCTAAAACGTTGTATCAATATTAATACAGATCACCAGTTCTAGTATCTGTACACTTGTTCAATGAAACATATGGCGTCTTGTATCGTCATACATTTAGAGGTAATTTGTTTAGCACCTAACATGAAAATTAATTATTCTACATATAAGAAAGAAGTCTTTGACGTAATCTGACATTGACTTTTTTCTATGTCTGCTTGATAGTAGGTTGCTCAACGCTTTCTTTTAACACAATGTTGGTTAACCTAATATATCAGAAAAAATCCAAAAGTAATTTAAATCTACCAAATATCACGCTTCGGATGTTCATAGGCAGACATTAGCGTATCGGACATTCGTATCTATATTTACGAATTTTGTGTTACACATTGGCATTAGAGCTTCAAACTTATTACATTTAGTGTAAAACAGAAAAATTACCAAACTAGACTCATTTTAGGATCGTGTCATTAATATTTAGATATGAGCAACAACTTTACCCAAAAGGATATTTAAGTGCAACATTTTTTTTACAAACATGTTATTGTGTGTAAAATATTTTTCTGGGTTAAGTGGTGGCTCATATTTATTTTTTGACCATAAAACCTATATTGAGATGGCCAATTTAGGTCAAATACGTAAATTTCAACTTGTTTACGACGTCTAAGACATCACACCTTTTTGCACTAAAGTGTCAAGAATTTATTAAACTGTACGTTCATAATCTATCAATGTAATAACACAGTTTGAAAGAAAGGATCAAATAAATGTATATTTTTGCAATTATAAAGGCCAAATAATGGCTCGTATTATACATCCTTTTGGTTTTTTGCCTTTTTACGTTTTCAAGTATAGGGGAGTTAAAAGTGCTTGAAACAATTGATGTCCTGGAGATCGCTTTCTCTTCAAATGTCTATACAATGTCACCTTTCAGCGTACATAGTTGATATGACTTATGATTTCAAGCTTATACATGTACAGGTATACATATACTTATTATTACATAATTTTTCAAATTTTCTTTCATCTTTACTTTGTTTGATTATTTAACCTTCAATATATTTTGTTAAGATATGCATTACATATATATATTAAAATCATTTAGACATTTTAGTTGTTCATGAATGAATATATATATTATATATATATATATATATATATAAATAAAAGGGCATGTTGGGAATACGCCAATGAGGTAACACCTCAGCAACGCAAAAATACCATAGACATTTAGAGGTCAAAATAAGGTTTTCAAGGAAAGAAAGATGGTTGTACAATATGTCACGCTCCAAAATGATATGTAAATTAGGATATGACAAAAGGAAACCAATAACGAGGTTTCCGACTTAGGACAGACACATTTACATGTAGCGAAGTTAGATTTTTAAATCTCCCTTCCTCCTTTAATCTTAATCAGTAGACTACGAAAAGTTACACAAAAGAATAAAGATAAGTATATGAAAAGCATTTAACACTAAAATAACGGTATAATAGATAAAAGAAACACACATATAAACAAAACAAGAACAAACAATATAATACCGTATGAAAGAATCCTCTCAGTCATTTAAAACAAGCTCAAAGTAATTCAAAAAGTATGAACAAAATACTCCAAGGTAAATTCAAAAAGGGGAAGTCCATAAAAAGTGACAAAATCAAACGTAAGTTTGTATCAACCGATGGAACAAATGGAAACTAACTGTCATATTCCGGACTTGGTACAGTCATTTCCGAAGAAAATGGTGGGTTAATCCTGGTTTTATGGCTAGCTAAACTTTCCAATTGTATGACAGTTGTTTATAGTTCTGTTATAATGACAAAATGTGGTGAGCACCCCAAACAGACATAGTTGATTAATGTGACAATAATTGGCATCCAGCAGCCAAAACTGTGTAAATATACATCACGGACACACAACACAACTGAATAAAAATTTTAAACAATCGTACATGTAAATCTGACAAAGACGCCAACACGAAATTGTGTGGTTTATAACACATTAAACACAATGCCGTACTAGTAAAAACTTTCCCGAAAAAGGTACAAATTAAGTAAAATATACATACAAGGGTAAACAAAATGATAAAAAAACACTGTTGAAACCTCTTTCGTCCGAATGGCACCTCTGGACCCACCTGCACTTTGAACGATAAAGCCTAAAGCAAATAAAATGAGAGCTGGCTCGATGTACAGATATCGAGTCACGTCAAGTCATAAGACAAAAAAGAACATAATAGCACAAACGCAAACAAAGGGAAAACTGTAAAGTAACTAAAAAGATACAGAACTTCAGTACCTAGAATCTTTAATTCAAGACCCATCTTTTTTGTATTTGTGAAGTAGACACTGAATATTTATCTAATAGGTCTTTGTAATTTCCACTTAACTTTTGAGAAAAAGGATGAGATAAGATTAACAGTACCAATTTTTCTGTACCAGATCCACATTTAGACAACAAATATCTCTGCAGTGGTGCTCAAGGCCAAAATATTTGAAAATCCAAAACTTGTTAAAAAAACTGATGAGCTTATAAACCTAAAAGGACATAAAATATAGACAAAGCCTGCGTTCTATGACAAAACCCTATCTCATTAATCTTTTGTTTAGACATAGACGGCATTTTACAAAACCTGAGTAGCAGCTGCAAGCTCTTGAATATCGTTCAATTGATATGAGTTGAGAAATGTATACTCCATGCACAGGTGAAGTTGGTATATTGTTGCTAAGGTTAGGAAAATGTATAATTTCAAATTGAAATCATCCCATTTGTCATATATTCTGGTACTGGTTCTGGTTCTGATGACCGCTGCAGTCAAATTTGATGTATATGTCTGGAAATGAGGCGGATGAAGCTGTATCCGTGGGTTTTGTTATCTCTAGATCAGGAGGATATATTAATGGGACCCAAAAGATTGGACTGTTAATGGAAAGAACATCATCAATATACCTGTATGTGAAATTACATGATCTAGCTTCTTTGATCTTTTTTTTTATAAGTGTCTGAAGAAACTCCGTCTGATATGAAAATAACATGTTGGTATGTAATTATGCCGTCCTACACTTTAATATCAGTGGCTGTACTTCATAGAAGATTTCATACATCAACTTATATACAGATAGACACGATCTTATGAAACGTACATAAACAAACTGCAGACCTTGAATGCAGAAAAACAAAAGAAACAGACTCGGTGATTGAATCACAACAGTAAAATAGCCCTTATACACAGGTCAATTAGGCAAAACAAAAGTACGGTACCGAAGGACAATTCCTAAACCTGTTAGCTTTTTGTAATAAACTGTAAAAAGTTGCCTCGGCATGAAAAACAAGCTGTGCATTAAATTTCTGCAGTTGTAATCATACTTCCGCAACAAATACCTACATTGTATATCCATGTTGTAGTGGAGTACTTTTTGAGTAATGGCATATTAGTTTGTTTAAATCTGAGACCCCACAGCAAACACACACATATAAACCGACTGAGAAATGTTAATCACATAAGACGGAGTCAACGGAGCATCATCATCAAGAACTAAATATTAAAAATATTTATTAGCAATTGTGGATTGAGGATTACAATTAGAAATTATATTATCAAGGTATAAACAGGACGTTGTTCTTAATATTTGATTTAGTAACAGTGGGTTGAGATGGATACACTTCATTTTGGAATATTTGGATTGCTCAATTATGACGCATAAAGTAAAGGAATAAATCTGCAATAAGAAGGAAACAGTTAATCCAAATCGGAATACTAATCACTTGGGGATATTCTATCTCCAAAATGACTATAAATATTATCACGAAGAATTACGGCTTCAATCAAGTCTTAGCATGTCCAATTAGTGTATTTTTATATGTGTTATTACTAAACAGGGGTCGTAACGACTGCAGCAGATATAGTACTCAAAAGGGGGTCCGACGACTTACAAAAAGAGCGACGATTTACAGAAAAGAACAGAAAAGGACCGAAAAGGACCAAAAAGAATAGAAAAGAACCGAAAAGGAAATCTACTTTTTTTTTTTTGCAATCGAAGGAGACTAGCAAATTGCAAAATCATTAAAGTCTATAAATGAAAAGATAGTTACCCAAAAAACTTTCTTATTAGGTTTTGAAACCTTATATTGCGACAGGACTAACTTACAATTGAAAAAATACCCTCTTATTATTACAGGTAGGGTCGGATGCCTATCTTATATACTACAAGTAGGGGCTATTCAAATGAATTTTGAAAAAGCTCACTCATTAATTTATATGTTATATTTATTTAAGTATTTAACAATATCGACTGCATCTTTCATCCGCTTTCTCTTCCCTTTCCTAATCTGGTAGATTTTTTGCCTCTCCAATCTGTATAGACTTAATCAATTTTCTATCTCCATGTGCATTTCCTCACTTTTTTCATTCTCCTTAGATCTCTTGTTTAATTTCTCTTTCTACTTCATGCGTCTTACTATCTGTCTGACACCCTTTCTCATTCAACTTATAAATATTTAGACGAACTATTTACATATATATACATATAATTACATTAAATTGCGCACAGGTTTTTTTATTTGTTAATAATCGCCATGCACAAGATATTGCTATTTAAAAAATATAATATGCATATGAACAAATATTTTAATAATAAGATTAAAATCCTTGATAAAAAATATAAATGATAATTTATCATACTGGTCTAATTTTAATTTTTTAACTTCGACCAGGCCTTGGAGAAGACATTTTCGAAGAAAGAACTAAAATAACACAGAGGTGTACTTTCTAGCTCATCTAGCCTTAAGGGTCATGCCAAGTATTGTCATTACTTAAAACCATTGGATATAAAAAAAACATTAGATATCTTCTAAGAAAAAAATTCCGACATTTAAACGAAATCTTTTACTAATGATACTGGGAAGATCCTTAACTAATTTTCAGTTTTTGTGGTCAAACCCAAGTAAGAAATGACCATCACAAAGGAACATAAATAGAACCATACGTATATTTCTCGTTTGAATAGTTTTACATTGTCATTTCGGGGCCTTTTATAGCTGACTGTGCGGTATGGGCTTTGCTCATTGTTGAAGGCCGTACGGTGACCTATAGTTTTTAACTTCTGTGTCATTTGGTCTCTTGTGGAGAGTTGTCTCATTGGCATTCATACCACATCTTCTTTTGTATACATAGTACATGCATGCAGGTTCTCAGATACCATCTCGCATATTAAAATCACATCATGCAGAAATGACCTAATGTGTTCCTCTCCTAATTATGAGTTTTGCTGCAATATCCAAAATCAAAGTTGTGGAACATATTTTATTAGAATTGTTGGTAATCCATGCAATAAGTGTCTCCTCCATGAGAGTCTTGAACATTAAAACTAGATATTAAATAAACGACACTGCTAATTTTTAGTGTTTGGTACAGGTTGGTTATCACTGTACAACACAGTTTAACCATGGAAGTATTATATGTCAATATTATACTTCCATGGTTTAACATAGAACCCTATGGGAAAAACCGAGAACTATTTTTGTCAGAAAACACTGTCAAACATCCAAATATACTATCCACACTGATCTGTGTCCACACTTGTATAGTTTTAAAATAAAACGAAAAACGCAGAAAGGGAGAAAATTCATTATTTAAGGAAATTAATATTAAGGAGTTGATTTCCAATTAAGTTATCTTAGAAAATGAAAGGATATGGAGTAAATGTACATGGGAAAAAATCGCACACAATGCATATCTTAACATATTTATTGGTCGTATATGGCTGATCTATTTCCGCTAACATTTTCTTCAAATCTATAATACTTTTCAATAGTCAAAAATCAAGTTTACAGTTTATTTAATAGTCACAAATCAAGTTTACAGTTTATTTATTTAATGACAATTTGTCGCATCTGGTACTTACATGAATAATACAGTCTCTTGGTCACAGGTTGTTTATTCCGTGTGTATATAAATATGAAATAAATATATGTATGCTCTTTTCGGTTCCTTTTCTGTTCTTTTCGGTCCTTTTCTGTTCTTTTCTGTAAATCGTCGCTCTTTTCTGTAAATCGTTGAACCGCTCAAAAGGCGACGTAGGGTATGCAACAGCAACAATAAAATCAAACAGACATA